AAAAAAAAAAAAAAAAAAAAAAAACAAGACAAGATATCAGACTAGCAAACGGATAGATGGACATCCATGCTTATACTGATTTAAAAAATAATTTTATGACGAACAATATCAAGAACTTTTCTGAATGTTGCACATGCGCATAAGCTTCGCCTCGAAAGGTACAGAGGCATGAAATGAAACCGACGAAAGTTTATACTTTGTCCTTGAGCTACAGCTTCTAAGGTACGCCTACGCATTACGCTTATGTTCATAAATATAGTGCACTCAAGTGCACTCCGATCGCATATCACAAATTCTCCTCGATATATGGGTCACTTGGCGAAGGGAAATTTGAGTTTGTAAATAATATGTTGGGAGCTAACCTTGTGTCAAATATTGCAAATATTAATATTATTTTGCTTGGCTATAAGCGAGCTACAAAGCATCATAAGACTCTCTGGGAAATGAAAAAGGCTAAGAAATGAAGAATGTAATGCTAAAACATACATAAGAGATGCATTGCATAAATGAAATAAATAAATGAAATTAAATACTTATCTTATTTTGTTTCATTGAAATTTTTTTGTATTTAATTGCGATTGATAATATGTTAATATGTGTACGTTCGTTAACCTTTGCATTACTCTCTGCTAAATATTATCTTTTCAAATTTTTTGCAGACTTTATTCATACATCTCGAAATACGAAGAGAAGAGGGCTCAATCAGTAGTCTTCAAAATGGACCCAAGGGTATGTATAATATATTTTACTAGATATATATATATATATATATATATAGTATACTATATTTGCTAGATATATATATATATATATATATATATATGTGAAGAACAAATTTCTCTTGATGACGGTACTATAGACACTGGCGCATAAATTGCATGAATATTGTTTTATAAAATTTATTGCCTCATAAGTTATTTAATATATATGATATATACATACTTGTACAATGATTCATGTTAATGCGTGTGTGCCTTTGATTGAGACACAATCAACGCATAAATGTTAATACACGTAATAACTAATACGAAGAGATTACTTACGGCGCAATATTGCTATAAAATAGTTAATGTTCTATTATTATTATTATTATTATTATTATTATTATTATTATTAATAATTTATAAAAAGCATTTAACAAAAATTATTTTTATATCATTGGTATGTATGCAAATAATGAGAGATAATCCGTATAATATTGTGCACGAGTAGCTGCATACACGCTTGCAAACCCCTCAATATGCGTGGTTTGATGCATATATTTATACATAATAATATTAATGAATTATTTATTATTTTGCTTACGGTTCATTCTTCTACTCATCATAATAAAGTAATTGCATTATTTTTGTATATGTACGTCATAGGTAAGCGAAGGTATATTAATTTTATCGTTTCCTATGTTACCCTCCAATCCAATCAATCCTCTTGATCCATATTAGGTGTGCAAACGATTTTGTTTCGCTGCTTGAAATTGATTGCTTCATAAAACGCATCTGATGCGTTCAATTTTCGCAAAATTTCAGCTATGAAAAATTTTTTGATTTTGATATTTGAACGACACAAATTTCAATTGTTGACAAGTTCTCGTTCAGTATGTATCAAAGCTCAAATAGATAGATGGATATCATTCATGACACTGCGTAGTTTTTTTTTTTTGTTTTTTTTTTTGTTTTGTTTTTTTGGAAAGAAGTGGAGCTAAAGTTACGGAAATTATTAATAATTGACTTGAAATTAAAATACACTTTTAATCATGAAACAGTGGTGGTTGGCGAGAAATAATTTGCAGTTTAGACTGAAAAGTTTTACCGCATGGCGCATATTCTCCACACGTCATCGTTCGGCGATTATTCATAAAAAATGCAATCGCATTTAGCAGATCAGCGATTCACATAAATTAATGACGCGCGAAACTGGTGAGACGATAATTTCGCTTTCAAACTGGCAAGATTCTGCTCCAAGCTACCCGAGATATGGCAAAAGACCATACATGCATGCATGCGATGGTGAATGATTCGACTATTAACCTTTACGAGTATATTCTAAAGTATAGTTGAATGTTTTTCCAAAAGAAGGGAACGAATTTATTTTCACACCTATTATTTTCTATTGGCCTATCAGCATTACTCTAGACGATCGAGTCAACCGTTTGAAAATTACCCGCTACAGGATTCGATATAGAAAAAGATGAATGGGTTGCGCGGCTAAGAAATCCAAATAAGAAATATTTTGCACTCAAACTTTGTTTTTCTACACAAAATTCTAAGATAGCTGTAAAGGTGATTTTAGCAGACGGTACGACGAACGGACAGTGCTAAGTTCTTATGAGTTATCCTAGGCATATTGAGCGCTTAAGAAATCTAATCTATTAATCTAAGCGGTACGGATAAAAACTGGTTTAGGAATAAATTTTTACTCTTCTCTAGAACTATAAGAAGGTAGCATTACCTTCTTCTTCGGCGAAGTGATCAAGGCTAACCACTCATACGCACAATCATGTCATCTTGTTTGTATAGATAAAGACATTTATCGTTCATTCACCTTTATTGCAATGGCATGTTCGGCTGTTCAGATATATTTGTTGATCGGGTGGTGGTCATGCATTTTTGAAAAGAATCATCTCGATTGATGAGACTTGTTTCCATCTATGTGGATACGCAAGAAATGAGGGTAATGGTCGAGGAACTCCTCGCGTTACAACAATTGTCAGTAGTTTGGTGCGGTTTTTGGATTGGTGGGTTAATTAGTCCGTATTTTTACGAGAATGTTGGTTTGCAACGTATAGATGCTTTACCGAACAATACTATGGATGTACACGATGAGCTTTATTTTCAGCAGAACAGTTGCATCTCTTCCTCAAAGGGTCTACGTAAACCGTTTAAAATATATTTGAAGTACATAATCGTTCAGAAGAAAGTCGGTTAACGATCGATGACGAAGCTTTCCTTGAATAGATGCTTCACGTCGAGACATGATTCTTCCGGCAAGATTGACTGAACAGAACGTATATTGAGAGTATCAAAAGATGCAACCAAAGGCCAATGTTTTTTGAAGCGATTTTAAAGGTACATCACTGCACCCCCCATTTACAACATCGTCTGTACCCAATGAAAATTGCCTCAAAATTTTGCTTGGAGATCCTTGACCACCATACAAACAAACGCTCAAACGTCCAAAGCTTTTGATATCCTCGAGCACCGGTGTAATGTGAACTGGATAGTGCCTTTGTGTATGCACATCCACCGCATGCGTTCTACAAAAACAAAAGCGAGGTCTAGGATTATGTTAGCATATAATTCGCCTGCAAAATTTTGCTTAGACTCAAGGGGGTCGGAAACTCCCAATACCCTCGAGCAATCGCGTAATGTGGGCTAATTAAACGCTATACATAAATACATCCATCGCAAGTGTTCGACAAAAATAAAAGAGACTCATCTGCCAATTACGTTCTTTAACAGGATTACAAGGCTTTCTTAGCGTTCCCACTCACACGACTTGGAATTGCCGGTATACCACACGGCAAAGAAATGAATCTTGAAATTCATAATTCATTCATCAGTTAGTAGTCGAAAGTTTTTCATACTCAAGAAGGAAGATCTTATGCTTATACCAAAAAAAATCGTCCTTTGCACAGAAATTGTTGTGTCTTAGTTAAAAGTTAGTGCCGAAAGCGACTATTACACTTCACTTCACTTTACCGCTATACTTCACGTAAACATTTTTAAGATAGACTATGTGGGACACTCTAATGTTGCATAAATTTTTGTTTTTTTTTAGGTAAATTTCTTCTAATACCTTAACATTTTTGAGTGATGAAGATTTTGTTGGAAGATGAAATTTTTTGTTGCTTGGCTTTTGAGTATGTTGATAATTAAAAGCAGATTTGTAAAAATTTAAATACCAAGAATTGCACTCATAACAGATCTATATAGTGTTTGTGTTACACGTTCAGGTAGAGTAAGAATTCCAATTCATATTGCACATCGACTACTTATAAACCCTAATAATCATTAAATGATATTCGAATTGTCTGAAATTAAGTCTGATTATCATGATTATTATCGTACTATGGAAGAGTCCCTATTTTTATTTGATTCGATATATACGCACAAAATGGATGTTTTTATACCATAAAGTAATTGCGGTACAACGGTATATTAAGTTTGGACGTGTATGCAATACCCATTCGATCGATTTAGAATCACTTTTTGTATCTGTCGGTCCGTGCCGCTTTGTTTAGTGCAACCTACAGGCGGCAACTTGTGACATATTTTGAAGAGATTTGGTACACCGAAGTGCTTTGGGCCCAAGGACGGACGCAATTAAGAATTTTTCGGATTATAAATATTACACTCTAATTAACTACTTTGCGAGCTATACTAAATTGAATGAGGATTAAAAAGTCAGTTATCTTCATCCCTCTCTCTCTCTCTCTCTCTCTCTATACATATGCATATACATATAAGTGCATCTTAAGGTTTAAATAAATTTTGTTGCTGTGTGAAATTTAACATTATGCTCACACCTTTACCTTCTGTTGTATTTTTAATTTGTAATTAAATATTTTTTGCGCAAAAATTTTTCCTTGACGTTAATTTATTCATATACATGTGTCCAAGTTCACATTTTTGTTTTATTAAATAATATAGACACAAAAATTTAATATATATATTTTTTTAACAAATGAAGATAGACGACAACATTTTGTTTTACTCTTACCTGATGAGTCAAGTACTTGACAAATTATAAGTGTATGAACGTAATAGTACATCCGTGAATTAATTATGATTACACCTGTGAATGCCGATTGATGATTAACGATCCTAGCATTAATGTGTAAAAGGTAAACAAAAATATATGAAGATGTATAAATGAAAAAGTGCACAGAGTAATGGTAAATTGATAGCGCGGATAATGAAAAAATAAATATTGCATATTAAATGAAAATTTGCAGATAGCCCAGGCAATCGTTAATGAACGAAACATCATTTGCGCTACGTTACAATACCGATTAATTGGGAATTGGGAATAGGGAAAAAGAAACATATTGTTTGGGTGTGTTTGCTTGTATGTAAATAACTATATAGAGATCTTTAGCTCCTAAAGAAAAATAAGTCGATTTCAAGTTCATGGGTTTAATGGGTTATAAAATTCTTGCAGCGATTATCTTAAATATTATACCAAAAATTGTTCCGAATTTATAGACGGAGTTGTTCATCTTTAGTGGCGATTATGGCGGAAAGAAAAAAAAAAGAACTTCAGTTTCATTAAAGCAAATACGAAAGTTGTTTCTTCTTAAGGGCTTTAACACGCCTGTAGTATCATATAAAAATAGTATGGACGTGTAGTCCAAAAAACATACCGTAACTGTCAATCGTTAGAAGCAAAGAAGGTGTTCAGCTATTTTGCCTGGGTTTTTTGAAACTCTTCAGCCCGAAGATTTTCTTCTTCTTGGCCAAATACAAGGCAAAAAAAACATAATCTTACTCATGTATTTCAATCATCCAATCAACATGAATGTGCAGCGAACTTGTCTGAAAATCTCCCAGTTTTACCTATTAAATGTCATCGCCTTTATTTGTTTGTTGTTATTGTTTATTTCGCGTTAGATTTCATCATTATTTTATTCGCAACTAACAAGTGTAATAGTGAACAAAAGTGAAGTGGTCTTCAAAAATTAATTTCAAATCTTTGTTCCATGGGAATATTTTTATCACAGTCCAAGGGGTAAAATTTTAAAATTTTTTTTTATTCATTCATTCATTCATTCATTCATTCATTCATTTTAGCTACTTTGAGTACTTAGAGTAATTCACATCCCGTTTCTTAGATTCGTATGTTTTCAGCCCCTAAACACATCTAACTTTTAATTCCTCAATTGATTTTCAACTGTTACCAACGACATGACATACGTAATAAATCTTTGCCTGTGATATTAACTGAAATGGCAAAGGCTTTAATTTATTGCAATTTAATTTTTATGCCATTGAATATATAGACTCTCATGCTTATGCTATAATATTTGCATGGAATATGGATGTGTGTGTGTGTGTGTGTGTGTGTTTGTGTGTACTTGTCTATAAGTCCGAATATTACATCCATATGTAAGTGCAAATATATTTAATGAAATTTGATGTATGCACATGTTTTTATGATTAATTTTATCATATCATCATCATTTCGTTAAAGTGAACAAATTCTGTATTTCGTAGTTCAAATTCAATTTTAGGTAAACAAATATTTGTTTAAATTATTTGACTACGCTGACGATGCTGTTACGTACCGATAATAAATTGTAAATTGAGTGACATACCATGTCAGACATATATATATATTGTCATTTTGTGGCCATCGTAAAAGGTTAAATTTCTATTTATGTATTTATCGAGGAACATATCGAGAGTAGATGTTTTATATTAATGTTGTCATCTTGTTTCTGCTTACATATAATTTATGGAGATAAATTAATTACACGATAGATGAAATATAAATCTAGGCAGGCATGCATGCATGTAGTTTTACATATAATATAAAGTAAACTTATAATATCGAATTATATATATATATATATATATATATATACACCTTTAATACATTCTCATCAAATTTAAATTTCAATGGAAAAATTTTAAATTCACGGATCTCGTCCCACCTCCGCGTGATAATAATAAATTTACGTATCTTTAACATTCAAGAAGTCAAAGGGCAAATTAATCTAAATATGTAACGTAATGTTCTATGTCTTTTATATGCTTAAGCATAAGAATAAGGGATGTAAGTGATGTAAGTGATGTAAGTGATAAACGCGTGTATTCATGTGTAGATAAATTTATGCCCTTAAGTAGATACATAAAAAGCATACACATTGACGCATTCATTATATATATGTACACAAATAAATCTATATATATAATATATAGAGTATGCTAGTATGTAATATCTAATGTGTGTATCTAATGTGTATTTTATATAGACGAATGTACTTACACTTACTTACACACTCACAATCAAAGTTATAGTAAAACGTGTGGCGAACCACATGGTGTTTACGATTCGATTTGATATTTTCAGTGATGCACGGTTTCACACGCAAGTGCCGCTGCTATCGTATTGAAAGACTTATTTTAAATGAATATGTTGTAATATTTTTTTAATTAATGAGACTTATAGCGTTGAGAAAAACTGATTACTTTAAGAGACTGTAATTATATCCATAAAATAAACGAGTTAGTATACCGTTTTAAAGCGTAATTTGAAATTTGTTTCTTGGGTATTTTATCGGCTGAGATGAATTTGATACACAGCCGACGGATACGGGAAAGACAGAACGCAGGAGAAACGAGACGAAGGAGAAACTACAATTAACAACATAACACTAGATGCCTAGATGAGAGAAGGCCAGACAACAGGCGACAGGCGGCAGGCGACAGGCGACAGGTGATGACCGTTGATAGACGGATGGATGGCCCGACAACAGATTGATGAAGCATACCTGACGCAAAGATGGGCGGACAAGCAACAAACGGGTAGGCAACAAATGATTAACGGACAAATGGACGTACGGACGAACAAAGAGATAGGGCATGGGATTTTTTTTATGCATATTTGTGTGCGTTATAAGCGCGTATGGCAACTTCAATCCGCGGTGTAGTTCGTGGAATTCATTTTTTCCGGTTTTGTAATGTGCAGCAAAGAAACTAGATCGGGACGATTTTATCAAGGCGACTGATAAAGAATGACATCTAATTTGATTAAAGTTTGCGAAAGTGTGTAAACTAGTTACGCTCTAATATAATTGTTATATAATGGGGGAAAAGTGACGGCGTTTAAAATATCACGTAAATGTTATTATAATCAGATGTGATTCGTTCATTGTTGTATTTTAAAATTATAATTTTTCTTAGGTTTGTGTGTGTGTGTGTGTGTGTGTGTTTGTGTGTGTTTGGTTAAATAAACACATTTACTATTTACAAGTGTGACACATGTTATGTTATAATTACTTATAAAAGAATGCATTTACACACTTGTGTCGGAGCCATTTAAAAAATTAATTAAAAACAGAAGTTGATTACTTGCAATCGTTGCACAACTTCCACTGCAATAAGTAAGTTGAGTAAAAATCGAAATTATTTACATTTAAAGTTTTTTTTATTTTTATTTTAATTTTTTTTTTTTTTATCATCAATATTATCAAGCACTTGCTGCGGATCGAAACATTATTTAAATTTTGTTTAAAGTTTTATTTTTTTAAATTTTGAGCGCGATTTATAAAACTGTCCTATGACTATCATTCATAACGATTCGATTCAATCCTCATAATTATTTTCAATATCATGAGTATTTCTCAGTAAGTGTGTTGAGACGGGAGATGGTTCATCATTTCGATCAATTGATGTCGAGGTATTGAGGTAGATTGATATTCCATTTTCAGTCAGGTCTTAGCAAATAATTTTTCAAAATTATAAAATAGATATCAATGATGAAGCTTTTTTTTTCCATAGGCGGCGAAATGCAGAGAACCATTGGCAAGTGTACAAGAAGAAGAGAAATATGAGAGAAAGCAAATTTACTTATTTCACGCATCATGCACTTAAGAGAAAATAGAGTTAAGAGAAAAAGCGTTCATTTCTCTTAAATGGAATGGCAAGTATAAGCTTTCATGTATTATGAGGACCCTTTCCAAACCCTTCTATGAGTATTTGATGCGTGATAATGGGGAGTAACTTTTCTATGGCATCAGATAGAGAAGACAGCATTTGTTTTGCCGATTATTAGAGGATTAGTTAGTACGATAATCACACCATTTCAAAAACATTTCAAAGACGAAGCACATTCATGCTAACACCCCGATATTAATCCATTTGTTTATTATTCATTTCCTAATATTTAAAATATTTCAGGTGGAAAGCCATTGAAAGAAAAAAAAAAAAAAACAATGCGTTTAGTAGGAGGAGTAAATAGAAAAAAAAAGATTAAATATATGTATTCAGTAAATAAAATCTCGATATTCAGGATATTTTTCAAATCATCCAATACCCTACACCAGTTTTTCGTATTATAATCTATTGTAAGATGGTAGCCCGGTAAAAACAAAGGTGATGGCAACGCTAAAATGATGAAGGTTTGCTTTATCTCTCTCTCTCTCTCTCTCCCTCTCTCTTGTTTACTTCTTGTTTGCGATCAAACGTGCGCCAGCGACGCGTAGCTTGCCTATATAAATACGGATTACAAATTAAAGTAAGAATTGGATTTCTATAGCGCACAATGAAATGAATGAAATCGATATTATTCTAAAATCTTATGTTCTTTTCCTCGTCAAATACAAAAAATAATATTCTGATACCATGCGAATACTTGGCTTTACATAAGATTCCTTATGTCGGAATAACGCAAAGTGTAAACTGTTTTGATCCGGTTTGTTTTAAAAAATAAATTTTCTTTCTTTTCCGTGACGCATCTCATGTCGAGAAAGTGATCCAAATTTAGCGCAAATGACTTATATGTCATTCATATTCTGGATGAATTTTCATCACTGGATATTAGCAAGTAGACTTTGTTGAGGTGCAAAGGCGAGAGGATTTCAAAAGGCTTGCACTTGTTATGTAATTTACATAGCGGTTTCCTACAACAAGAAGTCATATTGGGGTTGACCGTTAAAATGTGTTCGATTCCAATTGATTTTTATTGTGATAGTGTTTCTCTTTGGGCGAAAACATAATCGAAAGTTTGCGATCCATAGGATGAGTGCATGAATATAAACCACAATCATCAGATAGATAGGCGGATGCAGGGACAGACAGATGAGTAAACGGGCAGACAGACACACGGCCGTGCTTGAATCGATTCTGGAAAACATTGTGTGTGTGTGTGTGTGTGTGTGTGTGTGCGTGTGTCTGTGAATAGAAAGTTGATATATCTCCAGTTCTTTTGGATATTGCATACATTGTCACAAATTTTATATACCCTTACGGTGGTAGTATAGTGGTATATGGTGCAAAAGTGCTTTTAATATTCATATCCCGATTTCGAAAAATATAATTGTTATGGAAGCCGCACTATCTCGGCTAAGAGCTCACGTTTTTCTTCTCTAGTCATATAGACAAAGACGTTGAGAGTTATTGCTTGGTATGGTATTTATCGGTCGTTATGCTTAACAATGTACTATCTATTGTATTTTAATGATCATCCGTTGTTATAATTACTAATCTGATTTATTTGGATGATATATAGGGATGACTTGCTATACAAAAAAAAACATTTACACTGAAACCTTTCTCCACTTGGTGCATTCAACAATGAATGAAGAATATTTGTTTGTAGGAAATTAATTATATATAAATTATTATGTATATGCGTTTAAGTTTAAAAAATCTTCATTATTTGTTTCTATGATTGCAAAACAACAACTTATTCTCTCTCCTCAATTAAAGTCTGTTATAAGCATTACTTTAAATAGCCCGAGTAATTTTTATTTATTTATTTCCTAGTAAGTATTTAAGCCAATTTTCGAAACGTTTCGTGCTCTAATAGTAAGTTGTAACCTATTGCTGAAATTAGGTTCAGGTATTGGACTTTTTTCCCTATTTAGCGCAACCGTATTTGTGGATATTAACTTTGGATAGATGAGCTAAATTTGAGGTTTCCTTTTCAATATTTTCCTCCCGCCTTACTACTTTACTGACAATAGCATCACTGGCACATGATTCGAAATTTTATTGCCTTCGAAAAGTACGAATACTTAAAGGCATCTATCTGAGCATCTATTTTTCGAGATTTGTATGCCTTCATCCTTCCATGATAGCGTACGCTAAAATGTATGAAGTAATTATTTGTGAATGATGAATTTTGTTATTATTTATTTATTTTTTTTGCCGTTGTATCAATCTGCCTATAAATATTATTTTTATTTTTTTTATACTCATCACCGAAGGATGAGGGTATACGTAGATTTCATAATGCTTGCAACACTAAGAATGAAGTTGCCGGGTCGCTAAAAGATACATATATATACTTGTTGATCAGCGTAAAATTCTGAATCATTGTCTGAATTCATGTCTGACCGTTTGTCTGTTGTCGACACTCTTCTCGTCGCAAAAATGCAGCTATGGACTGCAAATTTGTCAGAAATTTGTGGAAATTCTTCCACACGGCTTGGTATCCGACAATGGGCAAAATCGATCAAAGGACACGCCAATAGTAAGTCGTAAGCTGATAGTGACTTTATTTCTCGAAGCAGATATTTGTCGTTTTTTGCTCATTCGTCATTAATTTTGAAAGATACAAAGCTGCATATTTTTTCTATATTAATTTGATGAATTATTTCACCGAAAACGTTGTCTATATAGAAAACGGCAGTCGCTGCAAGCATTATTAAATATATCGGTCTATATATTGGATAATTTCGATACTTTCCGCCCAATTATTGTAAAATATTGCATACACACATATCTTTCCTACTTCAATGCAAAGTGATAAAGTCGAATTTTCGGTACGTTTCGAACCATGGCCGTTATAACCTGGCGTATCAGTTTTGTTTTAGCAATCCGTTTAATCTGGAAATTATGTGAGATTAAGTCAAATATGGCGAATGTCATGACTTTCTAGATCCATTTTCTCTTAACAATCCCTGCGATATGAGTATCAAATGACAAGGCTTGAAAAATAGAAAGCGATTTGTAATAGACTAAAATGTAAAAAATAGATTTTTTTTTTTAAATTCACTTTCAATAAAATCTGTTAGTAGTTCACCTAAAACCTAAACCTAAAACTCCTTAATATTTCTCTGGGAATAATAACAACGGAGCACGCTGCGGTAAAACAAAAATTGGTATTAGTGAGATAGAATGTGTGTGGTGCTGGATATATAAGGATCAGCTCTGGCTGAATATAAGTACCTCGGTTGTTATACCCTATATCACTTAAGAGTGTACTTAAATTTGTGCGTACATATGTAACAGGCAGAACGGTTTAAGATGGATCCATATTTTCTTAAATCGATAGATTTAGAATCATCTTCTGAATAGGTCTTTGCCTGTCTGCCTGTGTAAGTTTGTGTTCAACGTATAAGTTGCAATCTTTTTTGAGCTATTTTGATGAAATGTGACACACTAACGTGCTTTGACCAAGAACGAAGGCTATTGAAAAAAATTCGGAACGATCCACTTCTTCGATTACTCTCCGTACAACTTCTCATTTTGAAAAATTGATATATGAAAAGAAAATTGCAATTTTCAAAATTTCTCAACAAAAATGGCCAAGTGATAGTATTTCGCCATTCTTAATAAAATGAAACGGAAATCAATCTTACTGAGTTTGAAGCACATAGGACTCCTCTAATATGCGGCCTTTCATGAAAAGTAAGCCTTTGAATGAAAATAATGTGTAACTTTCTGTGTGTTATTTCCAAAACAAATTAATAACTGTATTAGACGAAATGGTGTAGAGTATCTGATAGTCGGCCTTGATCGACTTTAGTTCTTAGTTCCTACTTGTTTTTATTAATATATTATTGTATGGTATGTTAAGATGAATGTACTTTTTCTCCCGATAATAATAATAATAATAATAATAATAATAATAAAATTGCAACAAATTTTTATATTTTAGTCCATTTTATTATTTTACCTTTGCGGTTGTGCCATTGCCAAGGATGCTGCCGTAGGCGATAACAAATCAGCGTTATCATCTGTCATTGATAAAAAGTCGATGAAAAGTGTTGAAGAATTAAAAACGAAAACGGATAAGAGAGATTCATCTGATCAAACTTGTAAGTTGTTGTTATTGTTTTTTCTTGTTTTTTTTTTTTTTCTAATTCATGCAATAAGGATATATTATAACATAATTTTATATGCATATATTTATTTTGATATTTTCAAGTTGTTCTACGTTTGAATACGGGCGAAGAATCATTTCGTCCAATATTGGGTGCAAATTATGATCAATATCAAGTAGCCTCTTCTGCTCAGGTAAGTGCGATTGTGTATGCATGCATCTATATTATACGTACCATAAGAAATGCAAATATAATGAATTTTTATATACATCTGGTATCTGGCAGTTATGTGTGTTATATTTTATTTTACACAAATAACTATTTTTCAAATATATGACGTTTTACGTTTTATTAATGTCATGTTGTGAACACAAGTATATATATATATATATATATATATATATATCTATATATATATGCGTGTTATATGAACATACAAATACATTTGCAAAGAATAAGTGATACTGACAGGTATCAAGCTCGTATACAACACATGTTTATGTCACCTGTAATTCACTCAAAGTTCCCAAAAACACCATTTTGCTCGTTGATTGCTTTATTTTATCTTCGATATCATTTCATAATTTGAAGCATGATGGGTTCGATAGACGTCGTTACATCTTGATGGTTTACTTAAAAAAAAAAAAAAAAAAAAAAAAAACACTGATTGATGAAATTGAATAATTTAAATCAATAATTTAATGAATAAGTTTTGCAAAGCGACTCAAGGAAACGTACTTGCAGAGTGACAGATAATGAAGATAGATAAGTCATTCAAAATTCTCACATGCCATTATTTTCACTTTTAAAACGGTAAGAAATGCCTAAGCAGGTCAAAATTTTCATATTATTTTAATACTTACTTCTGTATTGAGATGGACGACTAGCTAACTAATTTTATCTCTATTCAGATCAGATAAAATATTTTTATACTCATTGTCGAAGAATGAGGCGCATATTAATTAAGCCAAAATTCTCGCAACACCCAAAAGACCGCCTCATAGACATTACATTACATTATATATATTCTTGATCAGTAGCAAATTCTAAATCGATCTAAGCCCATTCGTTTGCACCTATATTTGCCCAGTGTCTGTGATAAACATTCTTCCGTTCGGAAAAATCAACTTATCGCCTACAGATTTCCAAGAGAAATTGAAAATGATGCATGCATGCCTACAACGGCCACCATGCGACCAGAACTGACACCATCTTTGCTTTCCGTGTCGTTCGCTCGTTACTTACAAACTATGGCACCAGCTGCACCCACCTAATATTTGTAGAGTATGAAAAATGCGTTTATCTCCTCTTTTTTTTCTTAGTCATTTTAAGGATCACTGCGATGGGTATGATAGATTCGGTCACGACCGAGTGTAATTTTCTTATTTGTTTTTTTACGCATTCGTTTAGCTTAGAAATCCTTGCAATGGATGTGGTCAGTTCACCTTTGAACTTAACAATTTTAATGTTTATTTGGTGGGCAGTTGAGTACTTATAAAGGTAATAATGGTGGAAGTATGAATGAATAATAGAAAATTGATGTAGAAATCAACCTTATCACATTTGGACCACATACATCTAATTTTTTGGATATCATCATATATAAGAATACTCAAAACATGTAAACCTTTAAATATCAAAAAGGCCTAACCCTTAAGTTGATATGACGAAAGTTTGTTCACGATAGTAATTTGATATAAAAGTGAAGCGGATCAAATTTAGACTTTAATGAGTTTATTTCCTCGACCCTACTCCACGTAATATTTCTCATGAATAAAAAAAAATTTGATTTCAGAAAAAAGTTTGATTTTTAATATTTTATGGTTAAAATTGGTCCTTAAGAGCAATTTAGTAGGAAAATTAATGTTAGGGGGTCTCATTACATTGGTCTATTTTCAGGGTTTATCATGAAAAAACAAGAAAGCCTACTTTCTAGTTTTTTTATGACCGTAAGGGAAGAATAGTAAAATTTTTTGCAAATAAATTAAGTTTGTTAAATTTTGATCACACCATGTGTTACTTTGGCCTTCCTCGAATATACGGGAACGTATGCCTTTGCTTGAAAATAATGTGTAATTTTTGATTTTTTACTATCAAAACGATTGAATAACTACTATACTAGGCGAAGTGGTGTAGAGTATCTAACGGTTGGCTTTGCCTAACTATGATTTGTTTACTTGGGGTTACATGATTTCTTCTCATTTGTCCGTTTAGCCAGAAACTTTCTCACTGATATTGTAATAATTTCCATGCATCTCGATAGTTTATTTTTTATACTCTACACCACTTGTTACATAGGGTATATTAAATTTATGCGTATGCAGCATCTAGAAACATTTCAGTTAGATAATCCTTTTTTGTTTTGATATCGTTTTGAAAAATGATTCGGTCTACCGGTCCTTCTTCCCATTTATCTTTGTGTTTAACTTATAGGTTGTAATTTTGAAATAGTTTGATTAAAGAGAGCTCCTATTGAAAATGGATTGGGGAGATCATTATGGCCTCTTTGATGTTTCTCGACAAAAGTTGTTGCAAAATTGTATTTTCGCATGCAAAAAACTTCTACCGGAAGCGACGACTTATGGACATTCTCCCATTTAAAATTATTCTTATTAAACGCAACGCTTTCATTGGCTTGAAAATCATATACGTAAGTATTCTTATGAAAATTAAGCCTTGACACGATTGTAATAAGATATAAGTTTTAATATTTTATATCGCGGATAGATAAGGAGTTGTATTAGGAGGCGCAGTATAAAGCGTTATAATAGTCGCCCTTCGCTTATTTATTTCTACTCGTATTTTTCATAAAATTGAAAAAAATCATAGATATATGTACACTTATGTCCTACATTTTATACTGCAGTCGCATATAATCAAATGTTGAAGCATCTTGGTAGCATACAAGCAAAATGCAAAATATGAATTGATGATGAAATCTATAAATGAAAACGGAACTAATCTCTGGCAATTCATAAATATTCTCATTTTTGTTGTTTTGTTGTTGTACTATTTTATCTAAGTTTTACGTTGTTCCTCTTATGAATTATAATCACTTAAAAGCACCGGGTCTTAAAAAAAAAACACAAAATAAATAAATAATTAAAAATAAAAGTAATCTTTTGTTGCTTTGGAAATCAAATAAATAAAATCAAATAAAATAATTTTTAAATAGAAACAAGTAAGAAAATTAAATTCGGTCGGAACGAAATTTTTTATATCCCATCATCATCGTTTTCCTAAAAAAGACAAGACAGGGTAGATGAATAAAATTTTCATGCTCTATAATATGGAGCGAGCGCAGCCGCTTTCTTCTATTTTGAAAAAAAAAGTTTTTTTCGTACCGGCATGTACGCGTTATAGGCGTGTCCTTTGAAACGTTTACGTCATTTCCAAATTCTTTTGCAAATTTTTAGGCGATATCTTCATTCTCGCTAACCGGAGAATGTTTACCGCAAATACTATAAATTGAGCAAAATTTGCCAGAGGCATTGGAATATCTTGTACGCAGGTTGGCATTGAAAATGGGCTAAATCGGCCGAAGGATATGCGCACAGCATCACGTAAGCTGAGAACAACTCTGTTGTTCAAGGGGAATGAAAAATCGGTTTTTGCTCATTACTCACAAACTATAGCAAATAAATCTACGAAAATTTGAACGCATATGCTATGGGCGGTACCGTAGCATTTGTGCACAGAAATGGAAATTGATCACGCCTACGCAATATCATAGCTTATCAAAATTTAATTGTTTTTTCAACACCTGTACAACGCACAGCAACAAGCTTGAAAGACCCTATAAAGTATGCAAATTCTTGGCCAGCTACCACACTTGAATGCACCTAAACATGTCCGCCTGTTCATCTGTCCATCTGTCTGCTTGCGTAATTTTGTAGTATCCCCGTTAGCGAAAATGAAGATATATCACCTAAAAATTTGCAAAAAAATTTGTAATTGATGTAAAATTTTCAAAGGACACGCCTACAAGGTCCATATATCTCTACGACAAAAACTTTTATTTTGAGAATAGAAGATATCAACTGCGCCCGTTCCATATTATAGAGTATAAGAATTTTCCTCTTCTACTTCTTTTGGTTTTTTCTCTTTTTTTTGGGGGGGGGCGGTAAACGGTGATGGGTATAAATGATTCGATCCCAATGAACGAATTTAATTTTCTTACTTGTTTTTTTATTATTTTTACAAAAACTGCAATATTTACTTACTTTGTGCAGATATTTACCATATACACGCAAGCTTTATATTCGTATTTGTTTAGCTTCTACACACTTACACATACAATGCATATGTGCAGTTATTTAATAGATGCGCTGGAATTCAAATTGATATGTATTTGTTGTTTGCCATTTCTACACTCACCACTGGGATATAATGCTTTTAGTAAGCCTTTGTAAAGCATTGACGTATGCATTAGAAATTTCATAGTGCGTACAGATTTTTGTTAAATAGGATTAGAGATAGGAATCGTTTTAGCTATATCTATTTACCTGTTTATTCAGGCAGGCAAATCACGGTCACGATTTCAACATATTCTTTAGAAGAACAAATGCTGTCCGATCAAGTTAAATATGAAAAGAAAGCAATTAAATCGGTAGATGAATCTGCTGCTAATACCCAAACATTTGTAATGTTTCTACCAAATCCTGTCGAAAAAGTTTTTTTTTTTTTTTGTAGAATTTAAAGAGCACCGAAGATCAAACGTTCAAAGATCAGGAGAATTGAATCTAAATTTCGTTCACAAACGGAAGGGTAACTGGAGAAGTATGTAAAATATATGATGAGCGGTATACGATCAATACAATATATATATACATATATATATGGATATATATATGTTGTATATAGTTTGAAATATACAGTTCACAAGTGGATGGTATGTATGGTATCAAACTATTCAACATATATCGAATATTATTGTTTTTATTATTGCTGTTTATATCCTATTACCCCTCTGGTATTGCATATATTAAGTTTGTACGCACGATTGTCGCACCCAGAAGGATATGAAATGAATCGACTTTTTATTAGAACAATCGTTTCAGAAACTGATTCTAACCTTGTATGTCTGTCCGTCCGTCCGTCCGTTCGTCTAATATTTGCCCACGTATTTTTTTGAAGGCACTTGAATAAAATTTGGTCCACGGACAAATGCTATTGAAAATCGTTCGGATCGCA